GCCTCTCTGCAGACCCTAACGGGAACTCCTGTGTAGACACCTCTGTTTGACTCTCAGTTTATCCATTGGTGAGAGTGAACAAAATCCTGTTTCTCAGCTCAGCTGCACAGCAAGCTTTTTATTTTTTCACTTTTTTTTCCAGAAATCACATATTCAGACAACTGCAATGAAGACTCCTCACTCCATACGTTGATACTGCACTGAACTCCAGCTCCTAGCTCATTTGTTGTCACTCAGCTGTTCTGTGGTATTCCTGCTTTTTCTCCTTTTCATTCACCATAATTACTCCACAGCAAACACATGGTTCTGCTTCCCATGAGTTAAGGCTACAAGTAGGGATTGTGCTCCTCCCTTTTGGAGGGTTACCATTCTCAGCTCTGTTGAACAGATACGGTGTTAAATATGGTTCACTATCCTCCAGCTGAGGAGGACAAATGCACTGAAAGGTGGCAAAAGCTGTATTTCATGAGTGAGGAAATGAAATACAAAAATGAAAACACACAATGTTATCTTCTGTTGTCAATGGAACACACTTTTCATTATGTCTGTATGCAATGGGAATATTAACTCTGATGTGCGGAAGTGCAAATTAAACTGCTGATTTCGATGATCATATTTCAATAATAGTAACTTTATAGCCTTTTAAAATTTTTTATTCCATGTAAAACCTCTGTGAGTTATAAGCCTTTTCTGTCAACTATATCTTATAAGTGAGAGGTTTATATTCCTGCTGTTGCATTAAAGGAGGCATTTTGGTGCTAGGAGAGTTTAGTATTTTATTCAGCTGTGGTAACTTTCCCTTATACTCTAGCACAAAGCACAATTAAGACAGAAATGTTCAGTAGCTTTATTATGCCCTTGTGTGAGAAGCTAATCTTTTTATCCCCCACTTCATTTTTCAGGGACTCTCAAAGGATTTTGCAAACTCTACACATTTGCCTAGCATACTCTGTAGTGGCATAAACAAAGAATACATGGACTTCAATAGGGACTTTGGCTTTTATATTTTTAGTAATTCCACTTTCTCTTACTGCAAGTTTCAAGAGTACTGGAATTTCCCAGTTAATATTGTGGGCTTTTGGGTAAATTTTGCTCACATTAATTTGGGCTACTTGTTACTTTTGTGGATAAGCAGGGGAACAGAGGACTGGAATTTTTAAAGAAATGTATTTATTATTTAAAGGAAAATTTTCTTTACGCAAAACAATACACGGGTTCTCCTCCTGAACTACCAGTGGGAGACAATCTCTGATGAATGCCATTCAATAAAAATGAAATTAACGTGGTTTTTTTTTGTTGTTGTTTGTTTGTTTGGGTTTTTTTTTCTGTAGGAAACCAGCAAACATTCCCAAGGAAGTAACTCCATTACTATCTTTTCGAGCACTGGATTTTTGATTTAGCCTGGCTTTTTATGGACACACACCATGCACATTTGTTGCCCTGGGTTCTGCTGTCTGATTGTTCCCTCTAATATCTTGCAAATCTATTTGCCAATTTTGATTGAATTTGATAGAGTAATTGAAGACTCAGTGATACAAGCAAATGAGGTGAGGACATCTGGCTCACTACCATGCCTTGGATGGACAATGGCTACAGACCCAGGGAATCTGGGTAATAATTGTAATAAAAGTAATCTATTGTTACTTTCCCAGATTTATCCTCCAGCATCCAGGGCTGGAGGTTTGCAGGGATCCCAGGCCACAGCTGCTTCCTTTGGGTCTTGTAATCTTTCCTACAAAACCAAGACAAATCTTGTCCTATTCTGCTTGTGTGGTACATATTTAAATTTGAAAAAGACACCCTCTGAATAACCTGACTGAGTGAAAGCTGCAACATGAGCAGCTATCCCTTACTAGACTTTATTAAAGTTACTCTCCCTGGAAGTTATCCAGCATGCTTTGTCTTTTGTCTCTCTATTCCTTAGGCCTCAATTACATTGTGATAAATTGTCCTGAGTAAAGGAAAGTGTGAAGCAGTCAGTCTGATATTTTCTCATTTCTGCCTTACCTCTTGGGCATTGCCAAGTAAACTGCCATGGAGACCAGCACATAAACATCCCTTCCCCAGGACAGTCTTGTGGGAAGAAGCCAAGGAACTGAAACATCCACAGCAGTAGGCTTCACCTAGCACTGTAATTTATAGTGGCAGCCACACAAAACATTTTCTCAGTGATGCACATGAGAGGAAAGTGCCTGGTCTGACCTTGTGTGTGTCAGCAGGTGGAAGCATTGCCCTGCACCAAGCTCTGCAGCTTCCAGAGCATCCCAAGGGATGGGCATGGTCACCTGGTTGCTCTCAGAGCCTGGGGACTTCGGGCTGGGCACACAGTGACTCACTGCATCAATAGCACTTCTAGTCCCAGTATCTTCTTAAGACTGCCTTAATTTTCCTTCAAAAACACCAGAATCAAGCGGGCACACAGTGACTCACTGCATCAATAGCACTTCTAGTCCCAGTATCTTCTTAAGGCTGCCTTAAAATTTTCCTTCAAAAACACCAGAATCAAGAAATTTAATGGTACTACTAAATGTCATTGTCAACACTGGCTACACTTACCACAGGAGCTCTTGGTCCCTGTTACTTTTTATTATGATCTTCTTGTGATGATTAGATGCACATGAGAGGAAAGTGCCTGGTCTGACCTTGTGTGTGTCAGCAGGTGGAAGCATTGCCCTGCACCAAGCTCTGCAGCTTCCAGAGCATCCCAAGGGATGGGCACGGGCACCTGGTTTCTCTCAGAGCCTGGGGACTTCGGGCTGGGCACACAGTGACTCACTGCATCAATAGCACTTCTAGTCCCAGTATCTTCTTAAGACTGCCTTAATTTTCCTTCAAAAACACCAGAATCAAGAAATTTAATGGTACTACTAAATGTCATTGTCAACACTGGCTACACTTGCCACAGGAGCTCTTGGTCCCTGTTATTTTTTCTATGATCTTCTTGTGATGATTGAATGTTATAATTTCCAGGATTCCCACAGGCAATCATTAAAATGCTGGCAAGTTGGTATTGATGATTGGTTTTCACTGCACAAGCAGAGTATTTCTCAGCAGATAAGTACACATTTTTTGCCTTGAATAGTGAAAGAAATGTACACTGAATTTCTTTCCCACTGGCTGTTTATATTTCAATACACAAGGATAATTTATACAAGAAAATATAACATTCGTGATTGCATCCAGCATTTACAAAAACAGCCAGGCTCTTCCAATTTGAAAAGAAAAAATTATGTAGGAGTTGGGGGACTATTTCTATGTTGATTTTGACTTCTTAGTCATCAAGTTAGGAGAAGGCCCTGTGGCAAAAGTGCTCACGCTGTATGGAGGGTGGAAATGAACTGAACATGAACACAAACTGGAAAGGAGAGAGCATCTCTACACGGCCCTTTCCCTCTCCATGCTAACCATTACGTACCCAGGAAAATTCATGGTGAGGTGCAACCCCTTCCAAAAAGGCACCTGGTGAAAAAACCCCAAATGTGTATTATGTGGGGATGTAAAAGTCCCTCCTGGTCTGAGGGAGTCTGTGTTTGAGGAGAACATGCTCTGGCTTGTGCCTTTGGTGGCAGCATTACAGAGTCCCTTTGCTCAGCTCAGCCCAGGACCTCAGCAGTCACAAGAAGAGCAGCACAGAAGCTGGAATGCCGTGGGTTAGGATGTGTGACCCTGTGGCATCACCTCAGCAACCCACACTTGCCCCAGAGCTTGATGGAGGGTGAGAAAAAGCACCCCAAAAGCAGGCAGTGATATTGGACATAACTGAAATCCTTGCTGATGCCTAATGCCAGGCACTGGCCTGGGAATAACCACTGCGAAAAAAAGCATTCTCTGCTGGAAGAAGCAGCTCCATTACACTGAAGGAAAGAAGAACTAGGAGCACAGAAAGCCCAGCTGTCCAGTTTGGCCACTTGGATGGTGTTGTCTCAGTCTCTTCCTGCTGTGCCTCTTCCAGCACCAGTGGAGAGCACCCAAGTCTTCCAGAAGTGTCTCCCTGCTCCCTTCATTGCCATACAGAGTGCATGGCTTCCTTGTCTAAGTGCTCAAACAAACCCTGCTTCACTGCAATGGATAAAGGCCACAGTTTCTCCTTCTGCTTCACTGCCAAACTTCCTCCACCAAAATTTTCACTCTGCAAGGCTACGGCAATCAGGCAGTCACACCACCATGAGGTCAGGGCTTTTGCCAGCATATTGGACCTTGCTGCAGGGAAAAGCACAGGGAGGGTAGGAAGCAGCCTGTGGCTGTGGCTGGGCACGTGCTGGCCCAGCAGCATGCAAAGTCACCCATCAAACACCATCATTTTCTTTACCTCGGCTGACCCAGAGCGGACCCGTTTTCTTTATGCAAAACGTGTGGCAGTGGGAGTTATATTGGGGAAGAACTGTGCAAACCTGGCAGCTGAAGGCAGAATTGCTCCTTCTGAGCTGGAGCAGGCACTTTGTCAGCTCCCTGCTGGTGACTAATGAAGCAGGTAACCTTTTCTTTCTTGCAGGGCTTGCCTGAATGGACTCAAAATACCCAGCAATCTTTATTAATGCTGTCACTCCTCCTGCAGAGGTGCTCTCCCTCAAGCCCACTTTTTCTTGTGCAGAAACAAGGGCTTTCCAGCAGATTACCCATAACTATAATTACACCTGAGATACCAGATGGTCACCTGCTGATGGTCAGGCGACTTAACAGGTAACCACCTAAAAAATAGGTGATGCTCTGCCAGGGTGACACAGGACATAAACAAGCCAGCAGCTAAGGTGATACACGTGGCAGTTTGCAAAGAGCTCTCTCGGCTACATTAATGGGGAAGGGGGGAATTGCATGAAGAATGAACCAAGTACTTACCACTCTCTATTGATTTCTGAAGAAATAATTGTTCCCCTCTAAAATGAAAGACAGCGAAATAAATTTGTTGGCGGTTTAGTTTGGTTTTTTTTTCCCCTCCTGTCACAGTTGTGTGGGGTCCTTTGCTTCCCCCTGCTGTCACCCTGAAACGGCACAGGGTGGGCTGTGGCTGCAGCCAGCCGTGGGAGTGGGGAACTGATGAGGATGGGCTCCGCCGGCAAGCGCTCCCGCATCCCACAGCTGCCACGGTGAGAGCTGTGAGAGCGGGAGGCCAGCGGCAATAAAAGCCAGCAGGGTCCCCTCCGTGCCTCACCGGCCCCGGCAGAGTCCCAGCGAGCCGAGCAGAGCTCCGGGGTCCCACCGGAGAGGGCTCTCCCAGCTGGCTTCCACTGAAGGCTGGATTTTGCCGTTCCTCTGCCCCATCTCCCACACGCGCAGGTGAAGGGATTTGGCACCCACAGCGCTCTCAGGTAAGAGGGGTTTGGGACGTGGACAGTGTGCTGCTTTGTGGTTTGTTAGGAAGCCGGATCTGGAAGAGGACTTTGCTTGGGATATTTCATTAAAATAAAAAGCAATTGTTCCCTCTAGCAGTCCTTAGGGAAGAGCCCTTGCTCCAGAGGGAGTTGCTGGCCCATGTACACCTCCCGTGTCCCAGCAGGGATCCCCTGGCAGCTAGAAGCCACCAAGTGGGACCTGGGATCTCAGGAAGCCCCGACAGTTCTCCCTGCTGTGTCCGCCAGCGCAGAGCAGGGCAACCTGCATCTGGGAGAGAGAAGAGCTAAATGTGAAAACTCTGAACATCATAGTACAAATGTGGATGGACATGGCTCTTGTTTGGACTGACACATGGTGGGGCCAGCCTGAAGTTCTCTTTTGGCTTTGCTGTAGGTCAGGCATGCACCAGTCAGTGCTCACCCTCTTTTTAGTCCTATTACCCAGATATTCAGGATGAAAATAATGACCAGAAAAATAGCTTAAAGCTAAACTAGCTGAAATAAGAAAGGAAACAGGCTGGGGGGTCTGTGCCACACACACTTTTATCACACTGCTGCTTGTAAGGGACAAGGAACTGAGTTACACCAGGAGGCAGCAATGTGACACTGGCTGCCCACCACCAGCAGTGAGGGCACTCAGTGAGGAGTATCAGACAGCCTGGATGAGGCACAGGGGTGCTGTGACTCTAGTGTGGCTCAGCTGCAACCTGCTGCCCTAAAAAGCAGCTGTGTGGAAAGGCTCCAGCCTCCTGCAAGGCATTCAGAGACTTGTCCCCACTGCTTGCTGGCCGTTCTAACCCAAGGGCAGGTCCCTTTCCACTGGGGAAACAAACTCAGGGAAGAACTGATGGGAGGAGGTCCACAAATTGACTTTGGTCTTTAACTTTTTTCTCCTGGCTGAGTTTTATGTTTTCCATATGACTTTCCCAACTCACTATCAAACTGGGAGCAGGTACAGTGAGGCAGGATACTTTCCTGCCCTTGTACGCCACTAGTCTTTGTGCTGTGCCAGTTTCAGTTTCCTGTGAGTTTCAGTGACAATTTCCCTGTTTCAGCTGGGAAACAAAACCATTTTGCAGCTGCCTGGCTGCTGAATTGGCACAAAAGAAAATAATTCATCCTTAACACCCACAGCAGCTTCTGCAGAATCACCAAAGGTGCTGGGGAAAGGGGCAACAACTCTTTATCTGGAAAATAGAATTAATTCTCTGAGGGATTTGTCAGTCCCGGAGAAGTCCCAGCCAATATCTGAGGAAGCACTGAAACCATGACCTGGTAGTTATGTGTGTTGTGTTCTTGTGTGAACAGGCTTTGTGCACAGCCATCATGAAATTTCTTTCTTTATCTCACCTGTTAGAACCACACACAGAGCTCTGAATCACGGTCACTTCTGGGCTCTGTCACTAGGTGGTGACATGCTTCCAGATATAGAGTTCTCCTTCAGTTTGTCTCTTTTAGTGTAAAAGAGCAGTAAATAAAGACAAAAACCGTCTGTTTTACCCTCTGCTTATGGAAAAACAGCATTCCCAGCCACAATAAATTCTGCTTCAGATAATTTGATATTTAATTGATTTTTAATATGGCATTGGATCGATTAATATTGTTTCTGTAAGAACTACTGCTATAAAAGTAATTTGAGTCATAAACATTTACACAATGACTAATATTCCCAATCTATGCACAATTTAGAACACCTTTGTCAGCAGAGATTGCCAGATGCAAAATGAATGCCTGTTTGTGCATCTTCTAGAAACAAATCTGCACTGAAAGCTTTAAAGTTATTATGTCATTTGGCTGATAAAAGTTCCCTTCCTCCTTTCTGTTTTCCCTGAGCAGCAGCAGTGCTTATTTTTTCCTTGAAATGTTCATCAATAGTTGCAGCCCATAGGCAGAGTATTTGCTGTGCTGAAGAGTTTGGTGGCTGGTATGAGACACATGCACTCACCAGAGGTCAGGCACTCACACATAATTTCCATTCCAGTCCATCGTTCAGTACTGAAGGAGATATCCTCTGGGATATGAAGATGAGGGCTGGAGAAGGAGAGCTAAATTCCATGAGACATCTGATGAGAGCAGGCACACTAGAAGCCTGGATGTATGTGTTGGTGGCTGGCTGCTGCCTGCAAGGGTTGCTGATCTGGTGGGATGTCTGTGAATGCCTCAGTCCCTGACTCTTGCTTGCTCATTCACCCACAGGTAAAACCACACCAGCCTCCATTAACTGCCAGCAAACAGAATCTGCAATGCCAATTGTGCAAGGAGCAAACCCCATCCCCTTCCCCACAGCAGCAGAGGGTCCTGCCTGGGCTTGGAGACAGCCCCCTCTGCTCAGCTGTGACTAGCAGGGCTTGGAGGGGGGTATGGCCATGGATCAGGGGGATGAACAAGTCTGTCTTTATCTTCAATACATGCCAGGGACCCCGTGGTCCCTAGTAGGCTCTGGGCCAAGCTGGACACAGCATTGCACAAGAAAGGCCTAGGGTGGATCTCATGACAACTTAGTGAGGCTAAGCTTAAAATACTGCTCTTTAACCATTAAGGAACCTAGAGGCTCTTTTGAGGTGGGTGCAGGAATGCAGCTTCCCTTATCCTGGCCTCCCCCACACACACCTTCCTCTGTCACACAGCTGCTGGTAGTGGCAGACTTGAGGTGACCCTGGCCAGAAGCCGAGTCTTGGAGTGTGTGTGTCTCTGTGTCTGTGTGTCTGTGTGTCTGTGTGTCTGTGTGTGTGAGCTTTCCACACTCCCATCGATGTGGAATGCTGCTTAACTGCCTGGTGCTGTCTGAAGCCCGAGCTTGGATGCCTGGCTGCTTGCTCATCCCTCACCCCACCTTGTAAAAATTCTTTTTACAAGGAGCTAGTTTCTAATCCAGCTACTTTTCTGTCAAAGGCATGTTGTTCTGGGCTCCCTGTGGTTTGCAGTTTTTATTCTATATTCTTCTTCAGAATCCTCCTTGACCTTAAAACTCTTTTCATTTTCTCTCTTCCTTTTTTTCTTTAATTTATTTTTGCTCACTAGTCAATTCTTGCTGAGGTTTGTGTACCAAACCCCACCTGTTTCCCTGTGTTCTCTCGTAACAGTTAAATACTCTTTGTTCTGTCCAAAACCCAATCAAAATGAAGATAGAACCTTTCATAGCTTTCAGGAAGATGGCATTAGCACTTCTCCCCCAGTCTCCCTGTGAGCCCAGGGCTCGAGCATCATCACCAGCAGGCAAGCCTGGAGCTGCTGGAAGGCATGCCTGCCTCTGGGTATGCCACTGGGTTTGTGCGTGCTTGGGGTTTTTGAGGGTAGTGAAAGCCTGCCAGCATGTGTGAGAGCACTCTGAGTCAGGATACTTAGTAAGGTAAAGACACTTCTCACAGCTATATGAATTTCTCTGTCTCCACAGGCACCCCAAAAGGCTCACCACCATGGCTGCTGGCCTGGAGAAAGCCTGCCACCGGTGCATATCTAAAATTGCCAGCAATGGTAAGGCACTTCTGGTAGCCATTGCCTCATGTATTTAAGCACCCCTGTCACTAAGCCAAGTATATAAAGGAACCACAAGGGACCAAGTCCCACCTGAATCTTTCCACTGAAGTTTCCTTTCCTAGATAATTTTGGGAACTGATGGAGTGTGCAATAGTAACTTTACCCTAACAGCAGCTGCCTGTTGCAGTATTTGAAGTGTAGCAACCAGCACAAAAGTTCAAACAAACACCACCATGAACCTAACTATGGGCAGCAACAGACAGCCTAAGCAAAACAATGTATTTGTCTCTTCTCTGAAGTGTTACCTTGCACTAGAGCAGCAGAAGCATCCACGGGGAAAATCACCTCATGAAGAGCAGCACAGCAAGCCTGGGAACAAACCCTCCTAGGAGCAATTCCCACCAAGCAAAACTGCTGCCAGCCTGTGTTGTGGCACAGGGACACACATCTGGGGATGGAATATGGTCAGGAATATCCGCCCTTTCACCCAGTGAGATCTGGGACAGGTTATTCTTCCCTCTGCTTGCCTGCTCCCTGGCACTGCAGGTGGGGGTATCCCCCAGAAGCAGCCCCTTGCTGGGGGTTGGAAGCACCAGTTATCTGGACAGAGGATCTTTTGCATGACAGCCTGGGTTTGCTCAGGTTTTAAAGCAACTGCTTCTCCCCACCCAGGGTGGAGGACACAGGGCTGTAATGAGCTGACAGCTGGTTGAACAGGCTGGTTCCTGCTCTCCGAGGAGCAACGCAGCAGAAAGCTGACCTGGGCTGAGGCTGTGCAAGCTGCACAGAGGCACAGGAGAAACACACTTCAGAGGTGGGGTTTTGTAAGATCAGGGAAGCAGTGTTCTCAGCAAATCCATGGGTTTTAAAGCAGCTTACTCCTGCTGACTGCATCTGCTTTTCACTCTGAGTTGCAAGTGCCTTTGGCTTTCACTTCTAGGCAGTAGCAATTTCTAATTCCACTCTAATACAAGAAGAAGCAAACCCCTTGACCACTCATCATAACTGATACTTTACCCCCACTAATTGCTGCATTTGCCAGTCTAGGGTGTTACTTTGTTACCTCTTCTATATTCCTGATCTTTGTAACTGATACTTTACCACCACTAATTGCTGCATTTGCCAGTCTAGGGTGTTACCTTGGAGTCTTCTATATTCCTGATCTTTACTGTGCTTGAAAGGTTCTCAAAGCTCAGAATGAACTTTTATTAATGATTAAACCCCTCAACTCCTTGCCGTCTTATAACCTGGCAGAGAAAATCAGGCCAAAGGGACAGAAAGCTCAATCCAGGCCTCCCTGCAGAAACCTGGCACAGGTAGGGAAGGAGAGGATATTTTCTGGCCCACTTTTTCATGCCCATCACTGCCCCAGGGGAAAGGAGGGCTGGGAAGTGATGGAAAACAAAGGGTACAGAGCATGCACCCTCATTACACCCTGACAAAGGCCTGGGAGTGGAATTGGGACACAACTGGTCCTTGTGGGATCCCTCACATCCTGCAGAAAAGACATGCAGGGAGGATCTGGACTTAAAAGGTCAAAAATGGCATTTTCTCTGATTTTTATTCCTAGTGTCTACAAGCAAAATGTTACCTTTCCCTGTTATTAAATTACCACTGGAACTTCAATGATGAGAGAGAAAATAATTCATCCTTTAGATTTTTTTTTAAGATTGGGATTGCTTCTAATCTCACCTATGCTCTTCTACAACAGAAACAACCTCTTGGGTAGCTGAAAACCTACCCATGAGTGAGGAACTCAGAAATATCATTCCAGAAAAGTATCTTCAAGTTCTTATCATGCTTAAATTCAAAATAAGCTCAGCTTTAGCTACAGATCAGCTAATCCATCCAAAATTGATTTTATGTTCATTAAAATGCAAGCCCTTATGAAATGCAGTGATGCTTAATAATTTCACAATATCATACTGTATACACTTTTCAAAGAGCTTTTCAGCAAAAAGTCTCCTGGTATTTAAATAACTCCCAAGAGCAAATCCACCTGTGGAGCATCTTTTCATTCTTGGTGTAGCAATTTAAGTACATTCTTCAATTTACTGACCGAAATAAAAAAGCCTAATCCACTACCCTGGGTGTACTGCAAAGCAAACTGAATGGCTCTATATGTATTGCCTAAATATTGTTATAAAATTACTTCTGGAAATTATTCACAAGGGGCCAAATCCAGAAATTAGACCATGGCATAACTGTAGTTCAGTATCCAGACACGTAATATAAAACCCAGGCTAGATACTCTGCAATATTGCTCAACCCCCAAAAAGTACCTACACCTAGGACATAAATTTTAGGTGGTGTGATGCTGATATCTGGGTACCAAAGTTCTATATTGCAATAATTCAACCCTGCCTAAGCAAAGAGCTGGTGGCCCTGAGCTGGGATTTGGTCAGTTTCCTTACACTTCCCCTGCCTCAAATGGTTTTGCACTGGAACTAGAGGCCTCCATGGGAATGGCTGTTCCTTACCCTGAATCCTCCAGCTTCCGAGTATCTAGTCTGGTCAAGGGATTAAATCATGCCAGGGATGGGATTCCTGCCATTTATCCCCAGAGACTGTTCCATCAATATATCTCCTTGCTATGGTATTTCACCTCATGAACAGAGCAGTCTTTGGTTTTGCTCAAGAATATCTCATGTCTCTACTCTTTGGATCACTCAGAGGTCTGGTTTTGAGTACTCAAACCTTGCTGTTATTTTCTTATTTGGTGGTGGCCAGCCAAGCTGAACAGATTTAATTCCTTTCCTTCATGTTACTTCATTCAAGTCTTTTCTGCACATCCCATCTGAGATAGTGACATTTTCCCGTGACTTGAAAGCACAGAAAGACAGCCAGTAATCACAGCTACCAAAATCACGGGCAGACTCATCCCTGGTCTGTACAGAATATGATCTTACTGGGGCTGGTTCCTCAGAAAGATTCATCAAGACTTTCTCTGCCACCACGACACCCCCACAGGCTTCATCTTTGTTTTCCCCAAGTGCCTGTCAGTGCAGCAGGGGATGCCTGCAGATGCCATGAAGGAATAAAACATGGATGAAAATACTTGCTCCCCATCTGCACTCCAGCCTGTTACACCAACCCTGCTGCAGTGCAGCACCCTGTGACACTGCTTGCTGAGCTGCTGCATTGCCATCTGTGTCTGCCTCAGGGCATCAGCAGGCATGGGGCCCTGCCAACTGCATTTGACCCAAATTTCCTAACACCCAGACTGCTGGGAGTCAGACCCCTTCAGAGCAGCATTCCCACAGGGTATTGTCCAAAGGCCACACTGTGAATTTTCACACAGTTTTGCTCCTCAGCTTGTTCATGCAGATAACTCCTGGGGTAACTGCAGACTTTGTTTGGAAGCTAGTAGCATCTCATGTGAAAAAAAAAAAAAAAAAATTTATCCAGAACCTGACAGACTACAGAACAAACAGCACCTGGGAGTGATGGCAATATAACCAACATTTCATTTATTACTGTATTTATTGTCAGAGAGCTTGTCACTCTACTGAACAGCTTGCACTACAGCTGTATTATCATACTACAGAGCAGAGTAGGTAGATTGAGATTTATATTCATAAATTGCTTCTCAAAATCCTGTGAAGACTCTTACCTGAAAAGAAAGAAACTTTTCTCTCTCCTCAAAGTAAATAGGGACAGCCTGAGCTGATCTGTAACTTTCAAGTGCTCGGAAAACTTGTGGCAGCAAAATAAAGTTTGAGGAGCCCGCGGGTGAATTGGTGTCACCTCCAATACTGCCTCTAGATCCCAAGCAAATGCCAGAGGGCAACAGGCTGTGTGTCCTGAGGCTAGCACCAACAAGGGAGCAGCAGAGCACTGGGAGGAGAGCTGCAGTGCAGGGGCATGGCTGTGGAAGATGCAAAGGCTCAAGCACCAGACAGAAGAGAGACCATGACATACAGCCAAAATATCAACAGTGATCTCAAGTGTGTTTACTTCTGGGGGGAAATCCTGGCAAGAGGAATTCAGCCAAACAGCAGATTTGCGTCAGCTGACTGTACTGCTGGGCAGGAGACACAAAACCTGCACCCACTGATCTAATCTTTGTGACCACATATTTCAAGGAATGTGCAAGATATTCAATCACCTGTTCTCTTCTGCCTCTGGTGTGATCCCAGACATGAGCTCTTCCCTCCACGCATTCCCAGCACGACAGGATCCTGCAGCAGGAGTTCCCCAGTGCCCCAGCAGGCGCTGCCCTGCTGGTACAGAGCAGTGCGTTCAAAGGCACCAGATACCCTTTCGAGGCATGCCTGGAAACACTTCCCCTAGTTGTGCTGTGTTTTTAGAGACTACCAGCCCTTTTTTGCTACTTATTCCAGGAATGGGGCCAGGGTCTTCTCTGACCAGCCTGAGGCGACATCTCTGACATAAAAGCACCACAAGCCCCACACACGGACCTGCCTGCCCAGCAGCGTCCCCTCTGCTGAGCCGCGCTACCTGCGGCAAGGGCCATTTTCTGAAGCGATTTGTCTTCGGACCAGAACGGGGCAGCACAGCCCAGACAAAGCCAGGCAGAGAATGCCTGCATCCCGCCTGAGCAGCATTTCTGTGAAACCCCCACACATTTAGGGAATATCAGTCTTTAGCGCTGCTAGAGACACCGAGAGTGGATGCAGAGCCCTGCCAGTTGTGTAGGCAATTGTTGAAGAGTCTCACTTTGTTAAACATGGATCTGGAAGCCTTCCCAGACTATGCATCTGCCCCTCCAATTCGAGACCTAAGAGGCTGTAGCTGAATGGGGAGATAATGAGTAAATACATTCCCAGCGACTGCTTTGGGAGCGGAATTAATGAACCATTATCTCTTTCTCTTGAGCTCTGAGTGGTCTCTACCTCCCACTTCTCCCCTCCAAAAGCGGGCTGTTGGGCAGATGTCAGACACCGCAAGCACGGACACCTGCGTGCCAGATGTGCAGCCCCGCATGCACATGAGCCCCCTGAGCTTTTTGCAGAGCTTACTGCAGCGTCCCTCCCCGGGGTCGGGCAGAACAGGCGCTGCACAGCTAAAAAATGACACGATGCCTCCTCATCCTCGTCCTCCTTCTCCCGGGCTCCTGAGCACCTCCCGTGCGGCACGGGCAGGGGCAGGAGGCAGCTGCGAAAGCACAGGCAGAGGGATGACATCGCTCCGAGGGCTGCGCTGCAGTGACAGCACTTGTGGCCACACCAGGCAGTCGGTGCAATGCCTGCAGAGCTGAGCGGCACCCCTTTGGGCACCAGATAAACGAGTTGCCCAGCCTGTGGGCACTGTTTGCCCAAAAACGATGCTGGAAGGCCAACTCATTTACAATACCATCACTTCTTAATATGAAACTGCAGTCTAGATAACAGCAAGAGGCGCTAGCACAAAATGTGACATGTGGTGAAAAGGGAGGCTCTAGGCTGTTGTTCTAATGAGAGGCTGTCAGTGGTTGAAAGAGCTTAGTCAAGTGTAGGACACTATTCAAGCAGAGGAAGAATTTCTGTATTATGCAGCACTCAAGAGATAGGAGTCTGAGCAAAAATGAGAGAAAGGGAGAAGGGGAGACTGGCCGACAGGGAAAGGAGGAGGGGGTGCACAAAGGAACAGAAAGTGCTTTCTTCAGCTCAAAATACCCTCAGTCTCTCCCAGTGCATGGAGATAACAAATATGCTGCTTCTGAGAAAGATGTCTCTCAAGCGCTTAAGTGTAAGATCCTGGTTCTCTTTGGAGAAAACACGAGCAGCATGTGGGGGATGGTGTGTTCCCATGAAAAGTGTCTGCGAGTCAGAAAGCCTGCTGGATCTGCTCTGAATTTTGATGCTGCTCCTATGTCCTCTCTGTTTCTCCTTCTGTAAAACAGAGGCAGTGATGCTGCCCTTTTCTCTAAGGCAGCCTGAGGGTGGTATTTTGGCAGCACTGCAGAATTTTCCAGAGTGGCACTGTCTGCAGGGTGCTGGCAGTGTCCCTGCTCCTGCACGGCCAGGGGGACACCGTGCACCTTGCAGAGGTTGCAGTTCTCTGGCATGGGGAACTGCAGGACACAGTTTACCCGAGGAAAGGGCTGGTCCCAAGCCAACTCCAAATACTTGCTCCAAGATTTTTTTGCAAGCCTCCAAGGAGATGCCCTACCCCTTTTCTTATCCGTGCTCTTCTCGGCCCCTATGCAATCTATGCCCACCTGCACTTTGGCACCCTTAGGCACCCACTTGAAGCCTGAGCCATTTCTGGAAGGGCTCTGAAGGGACACTTGCCACAGAATGTCCTCATTTTTTACTCTCATTTGGCAGGGCAGCGTTTCACTTTAATGTTGCCAAGTGTTCATGATTAGGCACAGAGGTGACAGCTCTTGTGAGACAGGCTGCTCACACTGTTCTAGATGCTAGTGTCCCTCACGCACTGTGAAGGTAAGCACTCTTCCTCTGCAGCACCCAGCTGTGCAGGGGAAACAGCAGGGCTCAGACACACCAGCAACTCTCTAGGGACTAAGCAAGCCCCTCAGGTCCACTCACCTGCAGGGAGAGTCTGTGTGCACCCCTAAGAGCATCCTTCCACACAGCTTAGGCTGATCTCTCCCAATGACAAATCCCACTCCTTGCAGCAGGGCTGCTGCCTTTGTGCTCATGAGCTAAGCTGGGTCAGGGAGTTAGACCAGCCAGAAACTATTCACATCTGTGATAAAGACAGATTGTTTAGCTATCAGTGAAAAGTAAGTGGAATGGCATTAAAGCTGCTATTTGCTTAGCAAACAGATACGGCTCATCAGTTGCCATGGATTAGCTGATGCAAAATTACTTGTAACTGCACAGTCGCCTGGCAGTGCCTCTGAAAAGGATGCAGGATAAGGCAGCAGCCAATGACTCCTCGCCCTTGGATTAAGACAAGATGCAAGTAGTAGCTGCAAAAGCAGTTTGTATCTCTCGCTGCATCCTGGAAGTGATAAAATATGTGCTGGTCTCATCACCACAAATGCTGCACCACGCAGGTGATATTCCCACCCTATCAAGTGCATTGCATTTCTTCCTACACAATTGTGTGAATACAGAACATCTGTAAAGAACTGGAGGGAAATACTGGCCTCTAAACATGAACTAGCCCAAAATAACACTGTCTTTCTTTTCTCCTTCACAGCATGCCTTATATTTGGGCTCCTCGCTTTCCTTGCCTTACCACTGTCCATGACTTTTATAGGTAAGTTGACTACTAAAGTAAATTGAAAATAGAAACTTCCTGGCAGTCTGTGGCAGGTTAACATATCTGGTGGAAGAAAGGAACTGGAAAATGCACGGTTTCCAACTGTTAAACCCCTGTCCTGGTACTTTAGCTTCAGACAGAATCTCAGCCCACACTCTGTATCAGGAAGGAAGAAGTACTTGAATTCTGACCCTGTTTATCTTGAAAAACCCCTCCAGTGTGTTTTACCTCAAAATCCAGCTTTGTCTGTGGGAGGAAGCTCAGAATCTGACATATGAGAAGATTTCATTACTCAGGATCCCTCTGTATTAACTACACTGCAAAAAATTGTAGAAGCGTAGTGCTGGAAGGGAAAAGAGATGCTGTAGGCTGCTATTTCTCCACCTTTTTGAAAGTCAGACCTGCTCTTTTGGCTGATCTATCACTGTATAACCCCTCAAAGGCTGGATTTGTGAGTAGCATTTCAAGATCAAATATTTAAGAAAGGAAATTCCTTTCAGCTGCAGAATTTTATACCTTTTTAAACTGCATAAGCCCCCTTTTTTCTTAAGCATCACCTTTCCCTTACCATTAACATAGATCTATTTTTTCTATAACACTTCATTGCTCCCTTTGGGCCTTTCAGTTCCTCCATATGGGTTGTGAACCCCACTTGAGAAACATCAGTGGAGACACCAATCCACCTCTGCTTTTAGACAGGCCCATGTGCTCACAGCATCCCTGACAGATGTCTAACTTGCCCTTGCTCAAAGAAATTCCATGGCTTCCCAAGGAGGCTGTTTCAACATTTTATTGCTCTCAAAGACAAAATATTTTTCCCCATATCCAACCTAAATCTTCCCTATGGCAAATTAAACAGATTACAGCCTGTCCTGCCCACTGTGGTCACAAAAACATTATTGGTCACTGTCTTACTCATGAGATCATTTGAACTGTTTGAAGGCTGCTACTATAATCCTGCTCCACCTTCTCTTTTGTTTTCCCAGAAGTCTTAAAAATGTAATTCTTTCATCCTGACCTCACAGGTCACTGTTTCTGTAGCTTTTTTTTTTTTTTTTTTGCCTCCCTCCTTTGACCTCTGGCCAATGTAAGTATTTTTCCTTATTAATAAAAGAATGATGTAACACAGGCCTCCAGCTGAGACCTGAGGAATGAGCAGTGCAGAGTAATTAGCTCCTCTGTTTAACATGCAGGATTTCTGTAAACACACCTCAAAATGAATTGTGGTCTCTCTGCACCAACCCATTTCCTTCAATTTAGTTTACAGTGCATTGTAAGCCCAGATGGTTTTTGGCAGTGCTACTCCCTCCCAGACATATCTCGTTTTTTATTTACCTTGAAGTTTCCTCCCCTACACACAGTGTTTGGCTCTATCAGTTTTCATCTTGTAGATTTTGAATGCTTTTTTCCAATGTATCCAGATCACTTTGAATTCAAAGCCCTCAAGAGCCCTTGTCTTTGACAAGCCCTTGTCTTGGCTCACCTGGTGCCTTGTTACTCATGAAGGATGGTCCAAAGGAACTCTAGGTACAGATGCTGAGGGCAAGCTGCATCCCACTTAGACTCGGACTGTGTGTGTCCACAGCCAGGCTGAGCGCTGTGTTGTCCTTGCAGGCTGTTAAGGGAAATGGATGTTCCTGACAGTGAAATTCCCACACCCTCTCTTAGGTGTCTGCCTTGAGATGAGGTGACTTTTAAGGCAGTCGGGACAGCTGGACCATTGCCATGAATATTATCCAAATCCAAATAATAAGTGTTCAGCTAAAGGTTGGTGTTATTCCCTTAATCTGGAGCTTTCAAAGTACCACTCATGACTATGGTGGGATTCTGATTAGGGTGTCCTAATTAGGAACCAGGGAGTTCTAACGAGGGATTGGGGAGCAATTAGGAAGTAGGGAAATGGACTGAACTGTTACATCTCAACACTCCTGCTCTTACATTTATCCATGACTTAAGACAGCTATTTATCCCTTAAGAAGATTCTAGCTTTAGCTTTTCCCCAGGCTGAATATTCCTGAACTGTGAAATAGGGATGGGAAAGTATAATACAAAATGTGGCATGGTTTCCATGCATACTGACATCCTGCCTTCTGGAAATGAATTCAGGTCTGGAATCTGACCACTTATAATTTCTCAGGAATATTTCACAGTATCTTTAAGATCAGTAAGAAGTGGAAAGTGTATAGTAAGATATTAGCCTGGAGCTCTGGATATCTCCTGCATCAGATACAGAGCCCTTTTTTTCCCCACAACTTACTGAAATTAAGAGATAATGTCACTGTAATATAGTGTTGTCAGATGATATTGGTTTCCTGCAGCTCCATATCAGCAAAGGTATTTTTAGGAAAATGAAATGTCAAGGAAAATGCAGATATTTATTTTTCAAGCAAAACACTATGATTTTCTGATAATATTCTGTTACCGTGATCTCAGAAAAAAAAACTTGCTGGTGTGCCTCCAGTCATTTTGGCTCTTGCTTCCTACAGAGGAAAACTGTGAGATAAAATATTTGTTAAAAGTCAGAGATGAATAACAGGCAGCCCTGGTAATAATTACACTCTAACATTATACACTCTTAAAATTCAATAATGCTGTAAATCACAGTATAATTCAAAATACATGAAAAGGACTCAGCATAATTTCCAAGCTGCAGACTTGTGACATCATTTAAGCCATAGATTGTTTAGCAGCTCTTTCACTTTTACTGGCAGAGAAGATCCCTTTTTTCACTAAACACTCTGAAGATATAGAGATTTATTTAATTTTTTTTTTAGTTTCCAGGGCAGTGAAAGATTACTCTCAATAACCCATTCTTGTATGTTGTCCTGAGTACCTTTATATACAGAATTCCCCAAGGGTAGCTAAATCACAATTGAAAGCTGATGATGTGCTTTTTTTTTAATAAGCAGCCTAAAGTGCCCCCTGTTCAAATTTAACCCCCAGTACTAGTCCTCACACACCAAATAATTCCTCAAATATCAAATGCTCCCAAGAATTGTCTGAAGCCTATTCTCATACTCTGTGCCTTTACATGGGAACCAGTCTTGTGCTTTAGCAGTTTTGTTCAACACAATCTTTCCTTGCACTTCAGTCCTTCAGCCAGTGTTCTGATTTGCTGATATGCTTTCTGATAAAATGGTGCCCAAAAGCAATTACTTCAAGATAAATTCTCTGCAGCATCTAGATCCAAGAGTAAGGCCCACAGTCAGAGCTTGACTGAGGTCTGTGCTAAGTGATGACAGCTGCAGCTGTCACGAGGAGCATTCACAAAATGGCCTGGCATGTTGAGGTCTCTGCCTCCCATTAGGAATAAAGTTGTGTAGTGGGCACCAAACAGCAGATCAGCCTTGCTGTAGAGCAGCCCTCCTTTCCTATGGGTGTACTTCAGCCATTTCAGCTGAGAAGAGTAAAGTAGCTAAAAGAGGCCAATGTTGTATTGATTTTTATTCATCCTCACCCCCTCATCTCATGGATAATCATGAGTCACAAGGACACTTGGTGGGTAGCAATCCTTTATGGGCCGTGCCAGAACACTGCCCAAATGATGCCCTTAGATAAGGTATTGTCCTGTTTGCTCACAAGTACTCTTTCTACCTGCTGATCCCTGTGTCCTGGATCCCACTGCAGTGTTGTTCTGTGGTAGCCAAGAGATAAAATGTGCAAGTACCTCTGTTTTCCCAAGCCTCCCACCTCTTCCCCCCCCCCCACTTTGGATTCTGTGTCTGATCTTGCACAGGTCTTTGGTTCATTCATTTGGCCCTCTTCCCCCCCCCCCCACTTTGGATTCTGTTCAGGCTGTGTCTGATCTTGCACAGGTCTTTAGTTCATTCATTTGGACTCCTGTGCTGGTCTATGTTGTGGTCAGGCTCAATTGCTTTTCACTCTGAACCACAGATTGCTCTGGCTTCCAGGGATCACTGCAGTAGGAGCAGATCTTTGATCTCTCATGGTCCATATATCCCATCTCTAGCAGTCAAAGGAGAGCATATCCATTGCTTATGGGAAAGAAGCACTGATGCTTTCCAACTAGTTTTGGTGCTCCAAACACACTCTGTGTGAGAACTGATTGGCACATTCACTGATTTCACTGTAACAAATACCAGTGCCCATCTGTCAACTGTAGATCCACATTTCCTATTCACACCTTGGGACGTACTTTTAAAATTACTACTGTATCACCTGCTTTGACCTACTCTTTTGCTGTCATATCTGTCTGCAATATTCTCCCAAAACCTACAGAGTGCTGCTGTCTGTCACTCAAATCCTTCCCAAGACTGACTGATGTCATGTTATATATATGAAAGGATTCCACAATAGATTTGTCTGGGAAAGAGAATCAGAGCTGCATGAAAAAAAGAAAAAATAAAAAAAGAAAGGCATTTTTTATCGACTTTATTTTCCCCCTCAAATTGAAATCTTATTTAACACATTGGAAATAGAAATTGCCTAGGTTCCTAAACTGAAATATATTCCCAGTGATCCCTGGCCAGCTGCTTTTGTGGCAGGCTATTAGATGGCCAAGAACTTTGGGAACCTTGGCAGCAGCTTTCTGATGAACGTGATGTAATTTGTGACAATTTCCCTGCTGCCCACCCTGTAAAGCTGGGAGACTCAGCAGGTCTCACTGTTACATAGTGGCAAAATGGACAAAAAAATTACAGCATTGTAATAAGGAATGAAAGGGGAGAGAGTCCAAATCCACCTAAGTACAGCCTTTTTCATTTATACAAAGGTTGGTAATAAACACTTAGTATAGAAGAGTCCACTGGACTCCACAGCCCTTACACACAGGGGATCACAAAACTGCAGAGGACAAAACACTGTCCCATGTCCTGTGACTAAAGTCAGACTTGCAGCAAGCAACCACAATCCAGAGCACATGTATTATGCCATGCAAAGAGTGCAGGAGAGGTTCAGGACATCAGCAATGTTCTGGACCAGCAATAGCAGGGGATTTGGTGGGCGAATTGACAAGCTAAAGAGGATTACAGCTATAGAAAAGAAAAACCAAACCAAAACAAAAAAAAACCCCAAACCAACAAAAAAAAACCACCAAACCCAAAGGAAAAAACAAAAAAAAACCCCAAACCAACAAAAAAAACCCACCAAACCCAGAACCCACTGGTACTTCTTTCCTAATTCCTCCTCTCCAGTGTAGTTCTGAAAATGGAGGCAAGACATTTCATGTGAGAGATGTTTAGCACTAAGACTAGCACATTTCTTTTGGTATCCTGCAACTAGGTAACCCCAATTATTCAGAGAAAAGTCAGAATATCTCCTTGAAAACTCTTTATATAGCAAGAAGAAAACAGAAAATCCTTTCTACCCTGTGCAACTGCTCCATCAAAGCCCTGAAACACGGGATCAATACCAATAAAATTACAGTGTAATGAACTGTTTAAAATTTCTGAAGATGCCATTGGGTAAGAGACTTGGGCAGGGGATTCATCCCAGCTAACTTATAGGTATCTACAGCTGGCTGTCTGGATTCCTTGTATAGCCATGGAGAGACAGAAGTGCTTTCAGGGACCAGTTCACCCGACCCATTTCAAATGCCTATCTTAGGATAAATGAATTGAATTTTGCAGGTGCCTATTTCTCCCTATTGACTACAGAGTGTGGAAAACTAGTTCACATATGGATGCCTGCATTGCAGACATCTATATTTGGGCAGATGAGTTTACTGCCACAGACCTGTATCACAAGTTTCAAGCACTACTGCCAGCAACATCCTCACACAACCATACACTCTCTTCCCTAAAACTTACCCAGCTTTCTCTTTCTTGCAGTAGATGTGAGGGTTGCCAGGGTCCTCAGCTCCATAACAACCAATTCTTTTATCCTCCAGCAACCCAAACAGCTTGGAAACTTGAGCTTCTACAGCTCCCTATCAGCTGCCTGGAAAGCTAAAACAGTTCCAGGTGCTCCCACGGGTATTGGCTCCCAAGCTTCCAGGCATCTGACTCAGGAACATGCCACACTCATGGGAACTAATGAGCAGGAAAATCCTGGGGGAAGTTTATCAGAATTCCTTCTTTTCATAATTTTGATTTTCAGTGAATTTTCTACTGCTGATGAAAATTTCCTGTCCAGCTCAGTCAATGGTTCATTTAACAAAGAGCTGTAGCTGAAACTAATGATCTCTATATGTGGCTACAATTAGTATTGACAGAAAATAGTAAACCAAAAATGTTGGTTTTGCCTTTGCTCTCTCTCTTTCTTCTCCTGCCGTTTGCTTGCTCATGGCCCTCACTCCCCTATTGGAAGGTGCAGCCCCCTTTTAATTCAGCCCCCATTTCAGCAGACACAGGATACAAGTCTTGGGTGTAAGCAATACACTTCACTTACAGTATCTGTAGTTCTCACTGTACAGCTTATTGCAATATCTGGTCACTTGAGATAACAAACATCCATTTTTGCCGTTCAGGAATGAAGTTTTTGGAAGACTGCCCAGTTCAGCCACTGATTCCCTTGTATCTGTTGGTGGGTGGCGTGATTGGCAGCTTAAAGGTAATGTGCCTTCTGTGTGTGAAAAATATTTTGTGTGACTCGACTTTGACTTGCTAGTTGAGACATGATGACAGCTCCACACAGCCACATGCACCCAGTACTGGAGAGCTGTGGGATTGGGCTGTGCTTGTTCCAGCACCAAAAGCACCTGTCAGTCAAGTGAGCTGCTAATGAGCTCAGCATTGTCCCACACATTGTGGTGTGACTTTCTCCTGCACCAGAGCATCTGTGCTACCATCCCTACTGAGGGAAATGACTACTTAACATGGATGCCTGTGGTAAACAAGGTCCTTTTTCCACAAGCAATCCTCCAAGCATGTCAAATCTTTCTCCATTATTTTCACAGAGACAGGACAAAAAGTTAAGTTACTCCCCTTGCATTGGGAATACTACAAAACCACTTGTGTTTGTACATAGCCCTTCACAAGTTCAATTTACTTCCACTCTGACCTGGCCAGAAGTAAATGACTGCAGCAGAATCACTTCCTTCCAAAGTAAATATATCCCTGCAACACAGCAGGGCTCATTAATCGAGATGCACCATTTTCTAACCACAACTACCTGTCTTCTAGTGGACTGTGCTCACTTATATCTTTGCTGAGCCACAGTGTGGCAGTTTGACAAGTAGAGGCACCCTCATACCTGTGATAAACCCTGGTCACTTAAAGCTATATAACTCTTCATTGACTCTAAAGGATCCACCCTATCCTGACAGTCCCTTTGCAGATGGTGTTAACTGGATTTTAGGGAGCATGAAAAGCCTTACCACAACATTTCTAGCCATTTTCTTTGCCAGGACTGAAAGAAAGGGGAAAGAATCCTCCTCTGCAGGTCTCTGCATTCACTGCACTCTTTCAGAGTGGTAACCCAACAAAACCACAGTACATCACTGGGATATGAATCATGCCCTCCAAGGACCTTTGATCAGTAAATAAGACAATGGAAAAAAAAAGAAAGAAAGTGCAAGTGATTAATCTTGTAACAAGGAACTTGCTCTGTTGTGAGTTCTACTGGCAAATGCTTAGTCATTCAATCACACCAGTGGACTTATCTGTATAATCAAAGGTTCATTTAATAATAGTTTAGAAAAGATTAGAGCAGAACTGAAAGAAAATTTTGAGGCTAGTGGACTGAAGCTTTCATAAAAAATGTTGACTCATTCTTAGCTATTTCTGGTTTAAAAGTCAGGTTTTTTCACTATAACTAAGGTGGCAAATGGATCAGTTAATATTCATGCTGACATCAAATAATTGTTTGAATTTTACTTCAGTTGACAGCAGGACTGCTTATTTTGCAGTTTGGCAATGCATTTGGTCAGAACTTGATTAGCTTCACTCATGCGTTATTTCAGCACTTGGTCTGGAGCCAAATTCAAGTTTCTTGCCTGTCTCAACTCTGCCCTCTGTTCTGTTCACTGGACTGCACTGACTTCATCCAGCAGTGCCCTCGCATGAGCTCTCAAAAGGTCAGAGGATGGGTGCAGGATGAAGTCTGAAAGGATGCTGTCCTGTGATGGACAGCATCTAATAGCAAGTCATTCTAGCCCAGATCTGTGCAGTCTGTAGGCTCCTCATCTATTTCTTTACCACCTCCAGTCTTTTAAAAAGCAATGGTGACTGTTCACCAAGGCAACTGAACCATTCTAGAGCAGCCAGAGAGGCCTGCTGAATGCATGCCACGCTGCTCCATAAATGTATGTTCAGCAGCTAGTAACAATGTGAGTGACTGCCAGCAATTTCTTCAATCACGCTTGGCAAGGCAATATCCATAAGAATTAAATGCACTTTCTGTGAACTACTTAGATGCAGTTGAGATTTATAAATCTACCTGGGAGGTCTCTCTGGCTGCCTGAAACCCAATACCCATCTGCCATTTAACCCCATTCTCACTGCTGAGCTTGATGGAACCCGAGTGCTGAGCTGAAAGCTAAATGGCCTGAAGCAGGCTTCAGGTCCAGCCACAGGCACCCTCATGCAGAAACCTCAGAGCCACTGGCCAGGCAGGTTTATCCCCCCTGTGCCTCATGAGTCTGTAAAATAAGGGGTCCAGCCACAGGCACCCTCATGCAGAAACCTCAGAGACACTGGCCAGGCAGGTTTATCCCCCTGTGCCTCATGAGTCTGTGTAAAATAGGCGTTCATATGAGAAGATGAGTTTGAGCAAGCCTGTTGCTTTGAGTGCTCAGCTGGATGTGAAACACAGTTTAAAGTCCCACCACCAGCATAGGCAAAAACCATAATTTTTTGCCTATGTTGGTGCTGAGACTTTAAACTGTGTTTCTCAAAAACTGGTACCAACATCTGGGCTGGAAAACCAGTTGGTTTTGTGAACAAATGTTTAATAATTTATATATAACCAAACAGTTTTCCAGATAAAAGTTAGAATAAGAGAAAACTCTGGATTCTCTTGCTAAGCTTTTCCTATTGAAAATGGGGCACATGGAATAAAATCTGAACCTGGAAAAACATATACCCAAACAGGTTTTCCTTGGCCAGTGTTCTGGAGAAAGAAGAGTGTAAAGTGAGGGATGCTCTTCTCTTTCATTTCAAGCAGAAGAGTGAGCACAGATTATAACTCTGTGAAAGAGAACATGACTGAGAACCCCAGTGAATCTAGCTGTGTTCTTTGTATTGCCAAGACTAAACGAGAAATCCAGGCATCACTGATGAGTCCTACTGCATTTCCCTAAATACCAGACCTTCCTAACCACCTGGCATCATGGTATTCCACATATTTCTCTGCTAGTTTCAACTGAAGGCAGGAATGGGGAAATCTAGGAAAATGACACTTAATTGAAGAAAATTTGACAACAGTACATTGCAAGTATCTAAAGCAATTTCTTTGAGGTTTAAGTCATAGTCTATATGCTTCATAATTTAATATAAGCTGATTCAACTTTATAACCATGGAAAAATAGAGTTAGAAGAGAAAAATGTATCCACTACAAGGCAGGAACTACACTACTTAAGTCATTTAGCAGTTACTGTAATCTGTTCTTAAAAGTCTCCAGCGTGGGAGCTGCTGCCATCTCCCTACACAATCTGTTCTCATGCCTTTCCATCAGCATTTTTTTTCCAATGTATGACCCCCACTGGTGAATAACCTAGAAGAAAAAAAATGCATTATTTTCCAGCAGTACCTGCTGCATTTGTGGCTCCTTAGCTTTCTCTTAACACTATTTTCCCACATCCAATTTTGTTTGGCCCAAAGACTGGCAGTGGCCAGAAGGTGTTCAGACTCTCTGCAGCCACTTTACTTATTCCCTTTTCTTTCCCAATGCCTCCAGGTGACTCTCCTGCTGTACGACTCAACCAGGATGAGGCAGCTGCTTTCCAAGTCTGTTGTGATTGATGATGATGATGACGATGAGTATCCCTGGAGGCAGAATGCTCACAAGTACTACGTCCATCTAACCCTCAGCCTTTTCCTCTTTCTCTGGTTCATTCTTGGGAACTACTGGGTTTTTTCTGTGTATCTACCAAATTTCATCCCACCTTTTCATCAGCCTCAGGATTACTGTGACAAAACCCTGTACATTTTTGCTGTTGGTGTTCTCATTATTAGCCATACTGTTCTTTTTCTCCTTATCTTTTGTAGCTGCTGCATATACTGTTTTTCCAGGCAAAGATTCTCTTCTGAGGAAGACTAAATGCTACATAAATAAATCTCCAGATGTTTGGGAAAGAGTGTACAACAAAGAACAGGCAATAATTCACCCTTGTGTACATCTTTGTTGTATGGTATATATGTGTGATAGCAGTCAACTTCAAAGGGAAATTAAAAAATACAGTGCCATCTGGAAATAGCTGTGCTGCAATACAGCATAGTCTATGCAAAAATGCTGCTACAGGTGCCAGGGTGTACTCCTGCTAACTTTTACATCCCATTTTTTAAACTCTGGATGTTTTACCAGGAGTGAGCTCTTGCAGATGGCAAACTGCTTTAAAACCAGGTCCCCCTTATGTTGTATATAGCACCGTACATCTTTGCCTATAAAAGTAGCCATGTTGTTCTCTTCACTGGAATCTGAACATCTCCCCATAGTCTTGCTGAGGTTTGCTATTGTCCCTGTATTATAGAGAGGGAGCTGAGAAAAAGGGTTGTATTCAGTCCCACTTTGGACTTTGGGAATTCTGACAGTAACTGAGATGCTCACTGCAGAGCTATTCAGGCCACTGTCTGCAATACAAGCATGTATAAAAGGCAGCCTGAATATGGCCCTCAGGTCTCTTCTGAACTTGGACTAGGAAGCATCTCTATCTAACCCTGGGGCTAAACCAGACAGTATGAATACATCCATATATATCCAATACATCCAAAGTGAGACAAGGCTGCTTTCCAAGTCTTTGGCAGAACAAAGAACTGAGCTACTGAGTATCAAATTGGTGCTTCAACCAGGGTTCAGCATTCCCCAGTCAGGGGATACACTTTTTCTACAGTGGTAATTTGTCAGTACAACACTTACACAAAGATTACTGTCAAATCATTGTGATCAAGTTAATAGAAAAAGTGATGATGTTACCTTGGTATTTTGAATATAAATCATAACAATAAGACATGGGTGGGGATGTGAGCATTTCAGGCAGATGTGTTCTCTACAGCAGTTCTCTAGTTGTGGTGTGAATGTAAATTTGATTTGTTCACCTTGGTGCTGTACATACAGAAATCTGTACTTAATGGACAGATGTAATGCAAACAGCTTTTCAGTCAGCAGCAGCAGTTTTAAAAGCACCAGCATGCAGAGAGATAATTTTTTTGTGACATGTAATGGCACAACCCCAGAAGTGGTCCTGGTAGGTTGTTTTTTCATGTGTTGATGAATGCAGTGTAAAAGTGCTCTTTCTGCTTTTGCTGTTACGCACTTATGTCAATGTGGTCAAAATGGAGGGGCTCCCCTCTAGATGAGCTTGAGGGTGGCCCAAGACACAGGAAAAAGATGTGTGTTTTGTGTATTTTGTCTGTTAAAACCTGCACAGCTGAAACTTGTGTTTTAGAGAAACCCAAAAGGGTTATAAAATGCCTGTGAAAGGGTGAGATATGCAAAAGAGCTCAACAATATGCCACAGCTGAACATGGTCTGCTCAACCATCCTTCCTGGGACTGAGCCTGCAAGCAGTGTAACATCTGTGGGAACCACCTGTCTTCAAACAAGAACATTTATCTCACCAGCTATTGCATAGATAAGTAAGCCTGCCTTTGGCTTACAAGGATTTTAATTCAGACCTCAGATTTAAGAATTGTTTATTTCCAGAGAACTAATCTTAGAAAAAGGGTAGGAAAAAAGATTAAATAATCTGAGGGCAGCATCAGTGTAGCATTCCCCTGCTCTGCAGCATCCCTTCAGGACAGGTCACAGCCAGGCTGCCCCATTCAGAAATCCATGGAATAGGTATTACTAATACTGCTGGCTTAGGCCATGCACAGTTTTATGTAGGGAAATGGGACCAATGGAAGTCTTTCCTTTTATTTGTGGGCCTCAGATTGGATCTGGGAAAAATCAGTCTCTGTTTCCCAAAGAGCTGCTCCACCACACACTCTCCACTGCCCCTCACTTTTCTGAAACATAACTGCTGCCAATGGTGAAACGCTAGAATTCCTCTTTCCCACCACACACACTACAATGGCTCACCACTTGGGCTTCAGGATTTCAGGCTTCAGTTCTGAATGGATCTATGGGATTTTTACCCTCAGTGGAGAGCATCTTTCATTTGTTAAGAACCCAAAATGTTTAAAAAATTGCCTATCAGAAGGTATAACTCCATCCATCACTCAAATGCAACAATGCAGCTGTTTATCATCACACAGGATCTTTACCCAGAATCCTGAAACATGCATAAAACCAGAAAATTATACTCAGTTGATAATGCAAAATAAATTTAACACGAAAGTAGCTCCACCCACAGGGCTCCAGTACAAACTTCCCTGTTCTTGCAAAATACTGCTAGAATCATTCTCAATCATGAGGATAAGGACTAATACTCCTGACCTAAGTCTGAATTGATTACAGTGACCTCACAGCAAGTGATGATGTCCTCCTATCAGAGCAAACAAGAGGAGATGATAGTTCAGCTCAGAGAAGAGATGTAAGGTGACATTGCCTTGTGTTTGCTGCGTGCTTTCGTGAGCATGGTTACAGCAGCTCAGCAGATATGCAATGATTTGCCAAACTTCAGCCACACAACAGTAGACCTGAGGCCTATGCCTCATTCGTGGAGGCTAAAACTGACTGATTCTCTGCAGTCTGACATGGGGGATTCATTCTTCAGATATGGAACCCAGTGCATCCACTGACATCTTGGGAAAGTGCTGCTGACTTAGCAGTGGATGTGTGCTAGTGTTCAATAGGTGGCTGGTATAAACACAAAATTATAGAGGTGGTATTAATGAGGCAAAAGACATTGTGTAACTCCAAAATATTTCACAAAAGTAAACAAAACACTTTGCTACAACCAAGAGAGAAAAATTCTGCACTGACAGTATTTACCTTTACCTTGTATACATCAATACGCTATGGCACATGCAAGTGAGAACATCAACACCTTCAAAACAGTTGGAACCATCAATTCCATGCCCAAAGGGATCTAAGGCTGCCTTCTGCACTTTCAGCAGACTGGAATCTTGCAGGACTGGAGCAGGATACTTGGTTTGGGCTTGTGATTAGATACACCTGAGTCACAGTGACTCTTCTGACCCACCAGCATCTGCATAGTTTTTCTCAAATTGCCCCAGTAGCACTCAAATCTAAATGAAAGTAGTTTAATTGAAGACACTTTTTCTCACTTAGGGGCAAGCTATGAAAATGTGCATGGGCCACAGCACCTTAACTTGCAAGCAGCAACATTTTGAACTACCACAAACTGATGGTGTCTCAGACAAATGTTCAGCCCCTACAGAAGTAGGTGTGGCTCCTCAGCAAACAGCTGTGGGGGAATTAAGTCATTACAGCCCAAAGGTCAAGCGGCTGAAAATACAGTCTACACCTTAAAATGTTTAATTTGAATTTTGCCACTAGACTAAAATTACAAATTGAAAATGTTAATTTTCTTCCCAATTATATAAATGTCTACTGAAAAACTGAACAGAATACACCCTTAAGCTAATTATTATGCACTCAGTGTTGACTACAATGTAGGAAACCAGCTCTGTTTCAGTTATATCAGCTCTCCTTCTTAAGAAGGAAAGGTCTATTTCCAATATTTAAAGGAAAAACTATATATTACTTCAACAGATAGGATAGCTAGCTCACTGCTAGTTGTGAGTACTACAGAAATCTAATTATATGAAGACCCAAAGACAATTCTGTATGCACACACTGACTCTATACACATAGATACAAGTGCACTGTCAGGAGCCATGAAATAAGTTACACTTATTACAGTTTATTGCCCACAGTATATTTGTCCTCCCACTACTCCACCTTCTTTAACAATAGGCGTAAGATTCCAAAGCTCTAGAGAGTAGCTTTCCACAGCTATTTTAGCAGCAGCAGACAGACAAGCAATCCTTCACTCCAAATGTTGAACACAGACAGCTCCTACCTGCTGGCCCAAAGAAGAGAGAAAAGAAGAGCATCAGACCTACCACAGACCTCATCTTCTCAGGACTGGAAACCAGAACGCTGCGCTGTCAGAGAAGATGATCTCTCTCACAGAGCACTTGCTCTGAGCTTTATGAGATCCCAAGACATCAGGCTTCAAAACTACAAGGTAACTGTGCAAAAAAAACCAACAAAAAACCTAGAATAGCTTCTGCTTCTTTGTGCCAAGAGCTGTTTCAAATGTCCCAGATCCTGAAATAGGAGCAGTTGGTGTAAAAGATCCTAAATGCTTTGACTTTACAGGCAAAGGGATATAAAGATGATACTGATGATAACTCCTATATATTGTACAACATTTTAAACTAGACCAGTTTCAGTAAGTTATCTTGAATCTTTTCTCAGACAATTAATATTCTCCAAATTCTCGTTGATAGCGACTTTGCATCACAAGGAGGACCCTTGTATGTTCTACATGTAATACAGAAATGATTGTTACATCAGGACTGCACTGTTTCTTGGTGGCACAGGTTTCTTCAGGTTCCTGTTCACTGCTGGAGTAGATGCAAGTCCCACAGGTATCAGCCATAAGAAGAAACAGAAAATGTTTTTAGAAAGTACAGTACTTGAGGGAAAATAAAAAAGGCTGGCAAGTGCCATCCGATATTGCATAGTAAAAGGAAACTGCTGAAAAGAACGATGTCATATTGAAAGATTTCTTAACAAATTGTATGAAATTCTGAGAAATCATGTGTATGTGTTTGTAAGACTGAATTTCTACCAAATGTCTCATTTGAATAAAAATGAGTGTAAGTGCATAAGCCTATGTGACTGCAGTCTAAAAATTAAGGCACTTTACATTTACCAGATAATTTTAATCAAGCCTGCTGCAATTTCACTGAGATGAATAGTTATATCAGAGACTGATTTCGCCCACAGATTTGAATCTCAGCCATACTGACTCTTCTTTATGATTAGCAATACTCCAGCAAAGGAAGAATCCATTATTCCCTTCCCCATGCTGCAGTACAGCAGCTCAAATGTGAGAGATGAAAACTGTGGACCTGCAAATCACCATACAAGAAAGCTTTCTTTTTACAAGGTCCTCTTGATGCCCAGATGAGTTAGGTACCTGCATATGGAAGGGAGTCTACAAAAAAGATGAAGAGGGACTTTTTACAAGAGCATATAGTGACAGGATAATGAGGAATGGCTCCAAGCTGAGAGTAGGTTTAGGTTAGATAATAAGGAAAAATTCCTCACTCTTAAGAGCAGTGGAACAGGTTGCCCAGAGAAGTTATGGGTGTCCCATTCCTCAAAGTGTTTAAAGACAAGTTGTATGGAGACTGAATAACCTGGTCTAGTGAAATGTGTCCCTGCCAACACCAGGGGGGTTTGAACTACATAAACTTTAATGATTTTTTCAATGATATCTTATGGATTTGATTGTCAGTCCTTTTGAAAAAAATTCAGCCTTTCAGTGTAATATGAAATGAGTACGCAGGATGCAAACAGTGGATAAAAAAACCCCACTATTCACTCTTATTCACAAGCTGCTGTAGACAACACCTTTTTATTATCACTGTTTACTTTTGTATTGCTATTCTACTTCTGCATGGATTTCACAATAGTAGTTCATAACAGATACTATTTATTTTCAGAATGCAGGAGAAACAAAGAGTTGCTTCAATATTTTTTGTGAACTTGTTTGTTGTTTTTAAATTTGTCCAGGAGAAATAAGACACTAAGTAAACAGGTCTGGTGCTTATTTGCATGGGAAGGTTTGGCTCCACAGCTTTACATGGACAAATTTCACATCTCTCTGCAGGTTTTGTTACAACAGCACAGGGAATGCTTGAAGACACAAAACTTCAGACTATTCCTTTGGCATTTTAACAAAACAGCAACCATGTAAGCAGGTGTATGTGTTCTCCTGCTTGTAGATACCTCTTTGAGGATACATTCTACTAGGCAACACCTGCAATTTGGTAACAACTGGGCTGGAATAAAATGCTAATAAGCAGTAAGATTTGCAGAAGAATAAAAAACGTGTAGCGGAACTCACCTGAGTTAATAAGCCTGCAAGCATTCCTGTCCAACAGCTGGTAGTAAGAACAGTAAGATCCAGAAGAGCAGTAAGAAGAAAAATAGCTGAAGAAAATGTTGGTATAGATAACTGCATTACTTCCACAGCCTAGCAACAAACATGTATGCATTCAAGTATGTTGTTTACTGTAAGAACAGAAAGAATTTTTCAGTCATGGAAATCACAAAATTATCTTTTACTGGCTAAAAAAATTATTCTCTAGGATGCATATCAACAATAACATTTTGGGTTTATTACTTTAAAAATATCCTAAGCCATCCTATTATTTTTAAAATAATTGCATACACTTCAGCTTCAAAAAATTATTTGATATATAGGAGATTAACTAGGTTAGCAGCAGATTTAGCTGCTTCTCCCAGCCAATTCTTTCCACTTTGGCAGCCCCTCTCTTTGCCAGGACATGCCTAACCCTGGGAAGCCCTGCAGGCTCCCAGAGACCAGCGCCCTCAGCAGCTGATAAAGCAAACCTATAATTCTGATAAGTCACAGCGTGAGATTCCTTTAACTGGCCCCTGAGCAATGAGTGATAAATATGACATACTGCCACACTTGTTCCTCAGTAATAAATGGCTATTTGTTCTGGGGAAAGCCTGACTCGTCACTGGAAACAACACTGCTGATGACAGCAGCTGGCAAACTTGGTGATTACTTGGGTACACAACAAAGAAAACACCCTACTGTTCACAAAACACAACACAGGCCAGGATTTCAACCCTTCCCTCCATTCAGGATGAGCAACTTTTGCTTCTCTCACCCTGCTACTACCACAAGCACTTCAGACATGTCCCTGAGACCTCAGGGACTTAATGTTCCTCTTCAACCACTCACCAAACCCTCTGCTTCATCCAGACAACAGGACAAGTGTCAACTGCCTCTCCCCAGGCTGCTGACAGCTCTTGATTGCTATTACACTGACTGGGGCTGTGCCAAGTTTCTAAAGCAGAGTCTTCAAGTGTTCCACATCCAGAGTTGAGGTCAGCATGGGAAAAACAGGCTTGGGAGCAGCTCCCACCACAGTGGCTTACACACAATTGCCACTTCCTTCAGAAACCTGGCCCCAGTTATACACGCAGAGCTTTCCTGCAAACCTGGCCCTTAAAGCCTGTGCCTGTTCCCACTGCAATCAGTGGCAAGTGAATCAGTTCTGATTGATTTAATAGGGGCAGGCACAGAGACTTAATTAAAAAATTAGTAACTGCAAGGAAAAGAAGGAATGCCTAATAGCCTGCCAGATCCCTGGAAGGAAGCAAGCAAAGGAGCCAGTTGTCTCTAAGATCAAGATTTTAGCCTCTCACCAAAAATAAGAAAAAAATAGGATAATAAAAGAGATTGGCAAAATGGCCTTGAAGCTGTTTTAAACATCTTGTATGATATATAATTGCTTTTCAGCTCTTGAGTAGTCTACTTTTAGATATGTCCCCTGGGAAGACAATATGAAACACGCTGAAAGACAGAGCCCTTAACAGCAATCGGCATTTTCAACTTTCCTTTGTGCTAGAAGTAATTAAAACTTTGCTTAAAACTTCTTGCTATTTGACAGGTACAAAGACAAATCAAATCTAAGGTATGTTTTTCATGTTAGCCCAGCTGAGTGCCAGAGAGGTATTTTTCACCTGCTCTTGTGTTTTAAGAAAATTGAGATTCTCAACTCATTACTCCATGAAAAATCCTAATGTCTGGAGACTCACAGCCACAACACTCCAGAATTTTTATGTGCTTGGAGGATTACCTGCAGTCATGGAAGGCTTGCATAACAGGGTTGGGGGCTATTTGTACACTGGTAAATGCAGGCACCAGAACACAGGACCACCAGGACCAAGCCAAGGGTGCAGTGTTAACACTCGTGCACCCTCATCTGCAGTGTCTGGGAAAAAACTACCCTTTGAGCAAACTATTCATGATGACATTTGAGCTTGTTTTGGACAGAAGTATCTGCTAAAAACCTGCTGTGACCTGGGCATCAACAATCATTTGCCTATGGGCAATAAGAAGATCAAGGTCTGGGAATATGCAATGGAGTATTTGATAACATAGACATAGGGTGAGAATTAACTTGGGTATGTTTTATCAGGGATAAACACTAAGTTTTGTTTATTAGCCTGGGTGAAGCCATTTTGGTCTGTCCTCAAATGAGAGAAATATTAGGAGCTCAAGAGACTCTGGCTCTCCCAGTTGCAGCTCTATATGACACAAATATACCAGTTGCTGGTTCTGATAGGGGTCTGAGATGTAGGATGCCAATCCAAGAGAAAAATTCTTTGTCTAAAAAAATCCCTCATGTTCAGAGCAGTGTCCTGTTGGAGTTAACTGCTAAGCTACCAGCAGTCAAGAAAGAAATCAGAAGCTGTAACTTTCTGAATTTCCACATCTCCAGAATAAGTTCTAATTCAGCTAACAAAATGTATCAGCCCAGAATTCAGTACAGAAGGCAAGATATGCAGTCAAAACTTTTGAAGTGGGCAGAAATTTTGCCTGTGAGAATACTGAGATGCCGGACATTCATTAGCAGCACCCAGCTCTTGGAAAAATTACATCTTGCCTTTCTCCTGTACAACCTTCATCACCTGGGTAGGAGAGAGCACTTACACAATCTCTACAGCCTCCTGCCTCTGGAACAACAGGACAGAAGCATCCCCACAGGGGATGAGGCAACAGAAACATCTAGGTGGTGTTAGGACACGTGCAACAGCTCACTTTTGATGTGAAGGTTGGACTTGATGATCATGGAGGTCTTTTCCAACCTTAATGATTGATTCTGTGAGGCTGTTCAGACAGACAGAGTGCTGTGACAGTTCATTTCTGGGTGTAAGCTTAGCCCCTTAGTACAGAAAAAGTAAGAAATCTCGCAGCTGAATGTGCTCAGGGATTGGTGCACTCTGGCAAGGGCATAATTTCTGGGCATTTACAAAATGTCCTTAAAATGCCATTTGTTAGAAGGGTACAGCTAACACTGCAGTAGGGGCGTTGCAGTATTTATGTAATATTCTCTGAGAAAATTGTGTATGTACCAGGATGACACTGATAGCCAACATTACATTCAAACATCTTCCGTAATCTCAGTATGA